CGCGGGCTTGGAGGGGTCAGAGCGAAGGGCGTCGACGATCGCCAGCTCGTTGCTGGTGATGAGCTTGAGGAGGCTCTTGAGCTGCGACTCTCTCCATTGATAGCTCCGAGTCTTGGCAGAGGCGAAGGTGGCTCTCAGCTCCTTCGCAAGCGCCGACGCTGCTTCTTCATCGAAAACAAGCTTCGCCGTCTGCTTCTCCTCCTCAACCGCCATTGAAAGTCTTCAAGTCCCCGAGCACACAATAAGAGAAAAAACCCAGAACGATTGATGCAATAGAAGAAGAAGGTATGGGACTATAAATATATATATGCGAAAGCAGGGGAAGGGTCAAAGGTGGCCACGCGAACTCGTACTGAGTTGGATCGTTGGACTCGGAGTCGGAGGTGTTTGCGTGTGGTGTGGGTGATGAGAGAAAGCGTGAAGTGTGAAGATCTTTATCTGACTTATGGAGAAAGAGAACAAAAATTTGATGATGGGAGGGAGATGTCATACTCTCTCCAGCTACTTGGGGAATTTATATATTTCCCAAAATATTATGTGTGCTAATTTGTTTTAATTTACACGTGTGATCATTTGGTTGGAAGAAATTAATAACTAATATTATATATATAAATATATATAGTTATAAACTTTACACCGACAGTGCAAGAAATTGAATGCAAAACGGATCTTGTCCCAAAAAAAATCACTGGAAACCAAATACTAACAGGGTTAAATTTGGCAAAAAAAAAGGTGAGTGTAAAAACTTTAATGCAATACCGAACCTTGAAAGGGGGAGGCGCATACTATTTTTCTTATTTTTAAAAAATAACAAATCTACCAACCAAAAGAAACTTTAACAAAAATAATAATAAATAGTTAAGGCATATGTTCAATTTTCAACACCAAGCAGTCTTGGTATGTGTTTTTTTTTTATATAAATACAAGCGATAGTCAAAATTACCAAGGAAAGAGGTTTCTCACATATATTATCAAGATGTCATGGAATTTGAACCTGAAACCATTGATCTACGAGTCAAGTCAAGATCATTTTCTATTGATCTATATATCTTCGTGTGACATAATGGATTGGCTTGCTTTTCAAAACAAAATTCTATTAAATTTTATGGTCAAAGTGAGAAGGTCTGTTGAATCAATTAAAAAAACCTAGATCACGAGCTAGTTGGTAAAATAGGAGTATCCTTGCTAAATTTATATGAAATAGAAAATTAGTGCTCTTTTAATTACATTGATGTGATTTTCCTCAATTTCCTCTTAAAAGGCAATCTAAGAATAAAATGGTATACTATATGGTGATATAAACTATTGTTATTTTTATTTATAGAATAAGGGAATTCGACTTTTCTAACATCAAAAAGAGGAATACCACTAAATAAATACATATACACAAGTACAATCAAATGCATATATGTGATTATGTACCGTGTATAAACTGCCTCGCCTAAGTTTTTTCCATTACTAGTATAAATAATCACCATACTAGTACAAGTAAGTTTGGTGAAACTTTTTGTACTACTACTCTACTACATCTCACTCTCGTGATTTATTTTTATTTTTTTATAAGGCTCTCGTGATAGTATTAAGTTAACATCACTGAAATGAGCAGAGAGTTCACGACTATAATAGTGAATAATCAAGTCATGCCTATACAATTGGAAGGGCTTTGTCACAAGAGAAATAAAAGAATGGGAGGCGTAGATATGAAAAGCAAACTTAAAAGTGAATGCATAAACCCTCTTGACTAGGGGAAAAGGAAATTTGAATTCGGGTGCAAAGGCGGATATACCATTTTGATTAACTGACATAATTCACATTTGCACCATATTCCAAAATAAGAGAACAAAATCGTGCCAAAAATGTATTTGCATTTGAAGTCTTATTTAGAACCGAAAGAGCAAGAAAATAAGAGAATTTCACTAATAAACTCATTTTAATATTATCTATTTCAATTCACGGGCAGGCCACCTGTGCATGCTGTCTATTTTAGTTGAGGTATGCATATTCAAGCACTTTACGAGGAAAATTAGAGTAATATTGCCAAACAAATTAATTCAAAGGGATAAATGCGTTATGTCCCACAAAAAGGGACCAATTCTCTCCCAATGGCACACATCATTTTAAAGACTCAACAACCTATTATTCCCCCACATTAAGGAAGTTGCTCACCTCACTAATCTCCAATATTTTTAATATTATTATTACTATTTTTATATTTATTTTTGTTGGATATTTATATTATTATTACATTGAAACCTCATAGCATTTTTGGGATTTAAAAATTTTAAAAGGGCCCTTTGGTCATTTGATTTTTCTTTTTTGGTTTGATTCATAAATTGAAAAACCAGCTCTGGTGACTCGGTGAATTGGAATTTTTTCCTTATGACTTGGTCAAATAATTTTTAAAAAAAAAATATTTGCGCTGCGAAATTATGAGATGTGAGATCAGGCGAAGAAGCAGTTCATAAATATTTCCGTTAAGGTCTGAACTAAACTGAAGCACAAACGTAAGAAGCACAAAGCAACCAACTCACAACAGTTATATATATAACACACAACATACCTTTACTTTGCTGACGTACAAAAATCTTAAAAGCAGACAATCAATAAATATGGTTTTGCAAAATTTATTAATTTTGACTTTATAGTTTTGTTCACTTTATTCTCACTAATGTGTAGTTGAAATTTCATTAAAACACGTCGAACGCAGAGTTTACATTCATTTTGTAAGAAGAGGTCATGTGTTCAAATCACATGAACTAAAATAATTTTAAACGAGATCAAAGCTCCTAGGGTATAGTCTCGTAATTAGAATTGAGAGCTTGAGAAAGGTGTTAGGAGTGAACAAGAGGGACATAGCTTTCGGATAATAAAAATTGTTTCTAACAAAGTTTTACATGGAAACTCAAAAGGCCATTTTGGATTGTAAAAGTGCTTTATAGAATCACCTATCCAGTACTTATTCATGAAGCACTTCTAAGTATATTCTGAATATTTAATATAAAAAATTATTTATAATTTTAATGAAACCGACTGCTTATGAATAGAAATACTTCCCTCTTAAGTAATCCTAAGAAGTTTTGAAGCAAGTCAATATCATGCTAGCTAGCCATACAAACAATTTATCAAGGATCACCAGAAGATGTGAGACAAGGACGTTAGCTAAAGTTCCATTTTCATGATTTAATTAAGGGGCAATATAGAGGCTCAAATTATAAAAATATCCCATATGAAATAAACTTTAGAAATACACCCAAAATCCATTTACAACATAACAAAAAAGCTTTTAACTTCTTATCAATTACAAAACTGTCATTAATTTCTTAAAACAAGCCCAACCTTAAAATCTCATAAAAATACCCAAAACACTGAATAGGGCATCAAAGTAATTTCATAATCAATATTAAATTCAATAAGACCAGCTGTTATTTTTTGGATTTGTTTATAGAAATTCAATTGTGTAGGGTTTATTTATAATATTAGTGATAAGAATGAGTATATTACTAAATATCTTTTTAATTAATCAAAATTGAATTTAACCAAAAAAAATATATATATTAACCAAAATTGAAAGCCATGGATTTGGATAAACTTTAATACGCCAGTCATCATAGCCATCAATTAGGTCAACTAGGCATCAAGAATCCCTCACACGCCATTAATTTATTGATCTTTGGTAGTGATTATACAAAAGGAATTGATTAACCTATTTCTTAATTAATCACCTTCATATCACACGGGACTTTAATATAATCAAATTAAACCCACATAAACAATCATGAAAATTTATACAAAACACATACATGTGACATGAAATGGCCCCGTACCGTGATATTGGTTTGGTATGGGGACAAGTACCCCTCACAACAAGCGAGACTCATAAGTCTCACTTCATGCGAGATATGATGATTCCGTACAAAGATAAACATTTATGTGAAATAGGGATAACACTGTTTTGTTATTTCAACCAAAACTTGCTATTCTCAAGTGACAATTTTTCCATGTAATAGTCTTTAATTGATTAGGGATAATAAAAACGTACTATCTACGTTTCACAGAAATTTTTATGCTATACAAGACAATCCTAGTCGGGGGAGCTACACAAGACTCACTCCTAGTCGGGGCACAAAATCTGTACCCCGTCAAGCCATGTCAAGCTAAGCACACAATACTAAAATAGTTAATTTTTTTATTTCTTCATATTTTAAAATAAAATATCATTATTTACTGTATTGGGTTGGGATGGTAACCGAACCAACCCCGGTACAGCCCAGCCTAATCTTCAAATTCACACAACCAAAGACCCAAAAACCAAAAAGATAAAGATAAATTTAAAATTAATAATTAAAAAAACAGAGAGATTGAGAGAGAATTAGAACCTCTTGAACGTAGGCTTCAAATTCAGGTTTGGAGAGGTCAGAGCGAAGGGCATCAACAATTTCTTGTTCGTGGTGTTCAGCCACTTTCAAAAGGTTCTTCAGCTGCGACTCTCTCCACTCGTAGCTTCTGGTCTTCCCAGAACCATAGCTGCCTCTCAGCTCCTCTACCATGGTCAACGCATCTTTTGAGTCAAAGTGCACCTTCTGCTCCTCCACCGTCGACGCCATGAATATCAATCAAATGCTCTCTGTCGTATTACAAATAAGAGCTAGCTAGCTTTGGTGCCAAAGATATTGCATATGAGAGAGAGAATGAGAGAGCATACAATGGGGGTCTTAAATTGTAATTATGCGCTTGGATTTTATCGGCTATAGTCGGAATAGACGTCACAATAGAGGTTATGTCTTTGTGTGCATCTCCTGTGTTTGGCCCAAAAATGCTTGTCGAATAAAGTATGGTAGGTGACGTTTATCTCAACTCTCTCGAGTGGGAGTATTCCACACGTTGGAGTAAAAATGGGGCTTCTCAGCTAATTAATGTTGTGTTTTTCTTCTGGTTTTCCCCGTGAAATTACAAAAAAAAATTCTTTAGTAAAAACCACAAGATGTCCCCATGCTCGAAGAGTGAGATTAACAGGAGGGAGGAAGAGAGAAAATAAGAGTCGGAACTCTTGTAAGTCGTAACAGGTTTGATAAATGCTCAACCATTGAAGTTACAAGCTCTAATTTCTTCTCTTGACATTGTATATAAGGAATAATGCTACTCTTATCATATTCTCATACCACTTTATATGGCAGGTGAAGTGGACAGCCACATAAATTAAAATTAATTTAATATTTTCTTTTCTTTTATGATTTATTGACACTTTTTAATTAATGTGGTAAGAGTAGCATTACTCGTATATATAAAAACATCTTAATTGAGTAAATCCGAAAACCGATATGTCGAAACAAAAGGAGGAATATATTCCATTAGGCTACAAGGTCATATGTAAAATGCGGATCGAAAACTAATTCAAAATAAAGATTTATAAAAATTGAGGCGTTATAAAAAAATAAAAAATAAAAATCCAAAGTTTTAAACACAAAAATTAAGTAGAATTTAGTACTATTTAAGCGTGTGTTTTCCTTCCAAACCATTGAAATTGAAAATAATTATTAGTTGGTTGACCCAACTCCTGTAACGTCTGCCCCTTGATTAAGATCCAGATTGGTGAAATGTATTTTGTATTAGGTTAACGACTTGGTTCATTCATTCATGTTTCTATCACTCAGAATTCAAATTTGAATAAACAATCAAGAAATATGAATATAAAACTTTCAAAAGTACTCATATCTGGGTCATGGGCAAGCAAGCAAGCAATCAGCCAAGATAAAAATAATCCATCCATACTCAGTCCAATCAATGCCCTGTAATCGTCCGCATGCATGGACTACTGTTACCCAATCTTTTCCTTTATTTAATCATACATATCTTAGCTAGCACTACCCCATGAATTCAAGAATCATAATCAAGACAAGTATCCATACCCATATAATATATAATAATCGTATGGTTGCAAAAGTATATATTTTATTCAGTTGTGTTTCTTTTAGTCATTCACAAACGCATGAATGCACGCACACTGTTGATGCAAATGAATCTCTCAATACATCACAACCTCCTACTTGAATCACAACATTATGCTACTTGTGGTGTTTTCTGTTAGGCTATGGGTCAAAGCTGCACGATTTGATCACGTTTGGCCATCTAGTTATCTTCTTCAAACGGAGTTCATTGTCTGTTGAGATTGTCAAGCCGGTACAACAAAGTCTAGGTTCTTTTTAGTTTGTCACAAGTTACACAATTATATACGCAACCTTCTAGTTCTAAGACAAAGCCTTTTTCTAGAAAGGAAAAAGTGATAATGTTTCGTCATCACACGAAAATTAATACATAGATATCTGCAGAGTGCTATCATTAGTTTCTCGTTTGCGCATGGGCCACGGATGATATGATAACCCTTCGGCTTAATTCGTAAGATTTAAAAGCCTAATTGGTTCGCTTTGGTTTAGGGTTTAGGGTAAAAAAATAAAGATGCATGACTTCACTTTAGGAGTAATTATAGTGTTGTACGGTAGTACGGTCACGTGATATAACTTGTTCACCTGTTATAATATAAGTGAATATTTATTGATACTATTTTTTTAAAAAAAGAATATCAATCATGTCGTCCACCTATATTATAACACGTGTACAAGTTATATTACCTGGCCGTACTCCAGTACCACACATATTAATGGGGACAATTGTATTTTATGTTGTGTAACCCACACTATATATTTATGAAAATATTTGTGCACACTATATATTTATATATATTTGTGCATATATATATATGCATGTAATAATTATAAATGAGTCAATTTTGTATCCAATTCATGATTGATGTTTGATGAATATGATTGTGCACAAAATATCCAACCAATGTCTCAATGATGCATTTTGTAATAATGGTGATAATGATATGTAAGATATGATGGGACATCTTGGATGAAAGAAGCAAAATCAAAATGTCAGTAGAGGCTTTGGTTCTTTGACTCCCTCCTAGCCCAACCCATTAAAAATGCTAAAACTGGCTAGGCCCAGTACTTGCTGGCCTACAACATCCCATGCATGTAAAACCATAACTATATGGAAGTTATGACATGTTTGTTTACATGGAATTGGGTATAGAATTACTCGATTCGTGATTTTCATTTGCGTTTACTAACACATGAATATTGAAACTGAAATTATATGATCCCTGACTGTGTGGTTTCACACTACAATTCGTAAACTTATACCTGAAAATTCAGAAATGAGATTGATTAGTCAAAAGTAGGTGATCTCGTATCCAAATTTGAGTTTAGACTTCATTTCAGAACGATACATGCATTGACAGAATCCAAGTCCTCATGTGTCTGTCCCTTACCTAACAAAAGGAAAAGGCTCCTACGCAGCATATTCTCTGCAAAAACCAAAAAAGTTTTCCAACTTATGATGATTTCGGCCATACAATCAATTTTATTTGGTAGACGTTATTTTCTGAGTTAGCAAATCAAAATTGGAGTTGTCTACGTCAAATGGATCCGTACTCATAAACATATTGGCCCTAAAAATATTAATGTGAATAGTATTTGTCATAACAAATTTTTTTCCTATCCATTACGCAATTCAGGAGTCATTATTATTCATATGAGATTAAATTTATTTATAGTGTATGAGATTAATAAATAAAAAATTACTAGGCTTTTTTTTTAAAAAAAAATTCTTCACTAGTGCCAAGTTGGCATCAACACCCTCAGGCAACAGTTCCGACTGTTTTTGCCTTCGGACCTGTCCAATATTGTTGGAGCCTATTTTTTGCCATGACTGCAGTTCATTGGTGGTGTTTGTTTTCAAGCCCATGGGGCCTTTTGCCAGGGTTATTCACCCCGCCGGAACTGTTCTTAGTATGAGTTAAAGAGTCATGTATTCATAACACTTTTTGAGTGTATGAGAATAATTAAATGTGAATGGGACTAAAAGGTTGATAGGGGAGATATTGTGGAAAAGTCCAATTTGACAGTGCATACAATCAAAGTTTGATTAATGTTTAGCATGTGTTGATGATTGCTTGGAAAAGAAAATTGGAGTTCATAGTCATGATCTCCAATGTTAGAGATCACTTTAGGTCATTGTTGTTGATAAATTCTCCAAACTAGAGCATCCTACTTATAATCATATTGACCCTAAAAACATCATATTTGATAAGGTCATTTTGGCGTGCCAGTCCTTTTAGTGATCAAACAAATATATGTGAACAAAAGAGTAATGAATTTATAATACTTTTTCAACGCGATTATAAAATTAGTTATGAGTACGACATAGAAGACTAATATCAATACCAGATATTGTAGAAAAATCTTAACTGTACTATTATCAAGACTAGAGAATTCGACTCTTGCCTTATCCTTTCCTAAATCCTAGTCCTCCTTTGTAATAAAAACAAAAATAAAATAAAGAAAGTTCACTATCGAGATCAACCAACTCAAGATACGGACATAAAAACAAAGAGCCAAGCAAAGCCTGTGCCATTGGGCCATGGGTCCATTGGTCATTGGGCCACCTAGCCATCTATCCAAACTCATTTCCAAAACCAAAGGAGAGGCAACCAATAACGGGTGATCCGAAACCCCACACCTTCTCTCTCTCTCTCTCTCGCTCTCCTCCCTCCCTCCAAACAACACCACCAACACTCCTTCGCATTCTCACTCTTCAACTAGCGCCATGGCCTCCGTCGCTTTCAGCGGCGCCGCCGCTGCAGCCACTGCCGCCACCACGTCTCGGCGTCTTCCCGCCTCGGCTAAACTATCTCTCTCTTCCTCATCCTCCTCCTCTCTCAAACTCCTCGGCTCCACTCCGATCGTTTCCCGCCTCTTCCTCAACCCCAAACGCTGTTCGGCGGCTCCGCTGCCTAGCCGAGCGTTCAACTCAGCCGCCGCCGCTCCCAAGTGCCTCGCTTCCGACCTGGAGCAGCTGAAGCTCGCCAGAGAAGACATCAGGGAGCTTCTCAAGACCACTTTCAGCCACCCAATTCTGGTATCTCCCTAACCCATTCTGTACAATTTCGTCTGCCTCCGATCTCGTCGAGAAAAGTTGGAGTTAAAGTGACGAGCTTTTTGTTTTTCGACAGGTTCGGTTGGGATGGCACGATGCTGGTACTTACAACAAGAATATTGAGGAGTGGCCAAGAAGAGGTGGAGCGAATGGGAGCTTGAGGTTTGAGATTGAGCTTAAACACGCAGCCAATGCAGGTACTAACCAAACCCGATTGCTAATAATTGTTCAATTAAGCTTGTAATCTTTGTTTGCTCTCAGTTGAATGAGCTTCCATTTCACTATTTTAGGTCTTGTCAATGCATTGAAGCTCATTCAGCCTTTAAAAGACAAGTACTCTGATGTAACATACGCAGACTTGTTCCAATTGGCCAGTGCTACTGCTGTTGAGGTTAATATAATCTCTTCTTTAACATTCATATAAGTCGAAGTTTGTGAATTTATGTAAGTTCATTTCACTGACCAAACCCTTTGGATTTTCAGGAGGCTGGGGGACCAAAGATTCCTATGAAGTATGGGAGAGTTGATGTTTCGGCACCTGAGCAGTGCCCAGAAGAAGGGAGGCTTCCTTGTAAGTAAAGCGTGTGTATTTTGATGTGTATAATAGATAAACATGGAATTTGGAATTATTTTGGTGAACTCTGTTCTGTATACCCTTTTGCTTCAATTTTCTCAATTCATATTGAAACATTTATCTGTGTTTGTTTAGCTGCTGGCCCTCCTTCACCTGCTGATCATCTGCGTGAGGTTTTCTACAGAATGGGGTTAAATGACAAGGTGAATTTGAGTGCTGTATACTAGGTTTCTTGACGCCATGATCTGCATGTGATGTTTACTTATGAAGCTGTTTGATCTGTAGGAAATAGTTGCATTATCAGGGGCACACACTCTGGGGAGGTCCAGACCTGATCGCAGTGGTTGGGGCAAGCCAGAGACAAAGTACACGGTATTAAATCAGCATCTCATACTCACTGAAGCCACTCCAAAAGAAAAAATGCTTCTCTGTTTAAGTGGCTTTAGTAAGATATTTTCCTTTCCATTTCCTATTTGAGGTTTTGAGATTTACTACCCGATTATGAGCATATGGAGTTGATTAAGGTTTTTGTATAATGTGAATTATTTTATCTGTTAGCATAACAGTTACTTAGTCAGAGCAGCTATGATAACTACAGCACTGATAGGGAGAGTAATTTTAATACAATAGCTAGAAAGTTAACTAGCATCATTTACATGGCAGAAAGATGGGCCAGGGGCACCAGGAGGACAGTCTTGGACAGCACAATGGTTGAAGTTTGATAATTCCTACTTCACGGTATTTGAATACTATCCTGATTTGTGTGTGAATGCTCATACTCCAATAGGAGGCTGGAGGGATTTGGTACAAGGTTTTCCTTTTGCTTATTGTGGATGTCTTCTACAGGATATCAAGGAAAAGAAGGATGAAGATCTTCTGGTGTTGCCAACTGATGGTGTTCTTTTCGAAGATCCAGCATTCAAGGTAAAACAAAACAAAAAGGATTGTCAAGTTGTTTTAAATGGATTCTTTGTTACCTGCAAATTTTCATAATTATTTGCAGGTATATGCTGAGAAATATGCTGAAGACCAAGAAGCGTTCTTCAAGGATTATGCTGAAGCTCATGCTAAACTCAGCAACCTGGGAGCCAAATTTGATCCTCCAGAGGTTTGCCAGCCTTCAATGCTTGCCTATGTTATTTTTGCTATGGATTTAACAATGCCACATGAATTATGCATGTTAACGCTTACTCTATGAAAAATTTATGCCCAATTCAGTTTGTGTAAAAGAGAAAAAATCTGGCATGGTTATTTGCAACTGAGTTAAGGAACTAGAATCTGGCACTCTGGAGTTGGCCTATCTGGCTCTTGCCATTCACCAAGAAATACGTTTACCGACAGACACAGAACACTTGTTCCTTTACTATTATTTTGCTTATTAACCTTAGCCTGTTCATTAAATTTGATGCTCAGGGTATTGTGATCGATGATGGTCCTTCACAGTCAGTACCAGAAAAGTTTGTGGCAGCAAAATACTCATCTGGCAAGGTTGTAAACATGGAAAACTCATACTTCAATAATCAATATTCTTTTTGTCAATAATTTTAACAAATCCTTTGCATCTGTGAGGATAGAGGACAACTCTGGGGGGAAATGTCTTCATACAAAATTTTCATGCTCTTTACTTTTTATGGTTTTCTGCAGGATTAAAAAGCAAGTATCATGTTTTCTAGTGCCGTCTCTTATAATAATACAAGATGAAGCTATTTTCAATACTCACATATAATAGTTGGAAGTCTTAAATGAAGGAGAAAGGAATAAATTCAATAGTATTACCTATGTGAATTGCAGAGAGAGCTGTCAGAGAATATGAAGCAGAAGATTCGGGCAGAGTATCAAGCTGTTGGTGGAAGCCCGGATAAGCCTCTACAGTCTAATTATTTTCTGAACATTATAATCGTGATTGGGGTTTTGGCACTTTTGACATCGTTGGTTGGAAACTGAATTTTGGGTTTCTGCTGTTGTTTCTTTTTCTTTTTTATCAATGAGAGATGCATTGGTTGCCTATATGTGGGGTTTATCTAACAATATCAAACAATATATATGTAAGGTTCTTCATGTGCATACTTCAATTTTGGTCACATCAGAGCTAGTTCAGCTTTTGAGAGTATCAAAAGATTATGTCTTCCCTTTTGACTGAAAAATGGTTACTGAAATTCCTGCATTACTGAAGAACCCAAATGAAACAAGTGTGACCGGGCGGCTGAACTTCCATGGTAATACAATTGAAAAATGTTGTATTTCTGACTGATAAATTGAATTCCGATGATCAGCTCAGGAGCTGATTCTTTTGTCCCATTGGTTTTCACCTGCGCTGCTACAAACCTGTCATTATTCTCTATTCAGCACCAAGAAAAACGTATTTGCATTTCTTAATCCATTTGTGGCTATGTTATTTTACCTGACATTTTTGTAACACTAACATGTAAACAAAGGGAATAATACTCCAAGCCATCAATTGGTTTTTTCTGCTTTTTCTTCTCTCTCTTTCTTTTTTGGGGATCAACAGAGCTATTAGTTAATGGATCTGGGCCGCGGTCCAGTTAAAACTGGCCGTGTTTCTATCTATTCTAGCGTAGCTTGAATAATCTCACTTGTCTTTCTCTAGTTTTTACCTTGAATCTCACCTTTTTTTTTCCCCTATCTACTATTCAAGCTTCACCATGTAGATTTACTAGAGAAGTTTGGAGGTTTTAGCTTTAAGGGTTTTCAAAGGGGCAGTGAGATGAGAAAAGATTCTATTTTTCGTCTCACCCAAACCTTCAACCAACCAAATATTTTTGGTTGAAACCTACAAGAAAAGATTCTATTCAAGTGAGGTTGGAGTTAGACTTCCAGGGTTTAAATGATGATGATGACATTAATATATTGCAAGTGCTTGCAAGAAAATGCATAAATATATTGTAGGAGATAAGTGAAAATGTTCTGTTACTAGACATGTAAATCAGAATGACAATTTGAACTTGATTAGGTTGATTTTTATATAAACATGTAATTAAAAAATTTATATTAAAAGTCTGACAACAACAGAATCCATAGCCATATTGGGTAGAAAATGGCATGTTGCTAAGATCTAAATAGTGGGTTCATGTATTCTATGAATACTAATTTTAAATTAATGTTTTATTAACAAATTTGGCATTGTTGCATAGGATCATGCCATGTTATTATTAACAAATTTTACTAAAATTTGGTATTGACCAACTCGAAGTTTGTGTTTTCCCAAGTGTGACTTATTATTATTTTTGTGTGAACCATATGATCCCAATTTCCCAAGTATGACAATTTTCTATGTAGTGCTCACCACATTACTTTCTCTTACAAAACTTATGGTACAAGTTACAACTAATATGCTTCAAACAAACAAACAATGGCAATACAAACACCACCTCCTCAAACCCTAAATTGAATTTTTATTTTTATTTTTATTTTTATAAAGGGTTTCTTCTATTCATAGAATTTGGGTTGATTCAAACCCAAACAAACAATGCCAATACAAACACCACCTCCTCAAACCCTAAATTGAATTTTTATTTTTATTTTTATTTTTATAAAGGGTTTCTTCTATTCATAGAATTTGGGTTGATTCAAACCCACACAAAAAATTAAAAAAAAAAGAAAAAGAATTTAGGTTGCTTTTGATTCATGGAAAAAAGGATTTGGAAATGAGAAACTATTTACTTTTCCATGTTTGGTAAGTCCAGACATGGAAAATGATTTCCAATAACTATTTACTTTCTCATGTTTGGTACAAACATGGAAAATGATTTCCCGTCTCATGAGAAAATACAGGGGGAAATGAAACCCTCCACCCACCTTGGGTTTCAATTTTCTCTCCTCATGGAAGAGTAGATAATTAGATATAATACGTATATATAATTAGCCATATCATCTGAAGCATGAACAGAATCACCTTTGTTCCGAAGGCCTAGCGAGGCGGAGAAGCAAGAGCTCACTCGACCTGGGAGGAAGTTTCATTCCAAACTGCTCTTAGTTTGAGCGGCTGATACCGACTCGCTTCGCTCGGACAGCCTACGCAAACCTACTTGCCTATCTACTCTTGAAGTACCGTTCGGCTCCTGTATAGGGGAGCCTCACTTCCCTTCTGTTTTCTCTTCATACAAGGATAGCTCATCCAAGCGGAGCTGACCCTTCTCTTAACTGGTATTTCCGCTTTTTCTCTTGCATTCCATAATGGGAAGAACCTCTTCGTCTATTCTCTTCGGGGGATGCAAACCTTAATTACAATTTTTAATGCAGATTTATGATTTAGGGATATAATTGGAAAACTAAACAAAATCCATTTCCAATCCCTAACCAAACATGGGGAAATGAAATAAAATGATATTTCCTAGTTATTTTCCTAACGTTACCAAACATGGAAAATGAATCTTCGATTTCCCTTCACATAGGAAACTATATATGGTTATTGATTTCCTATCAATTAATTTCCGTAACCCAAACATGACCTAACATGTGTTGTTTTAGGGAACAATGACTCCAAATCACTACGGAGTTGTTTGCAACATGGCCTAACATGTAAACAATGGGTTTTGGGTTTAGGGTTTAGGATAAAGAGAGTGAACTTTCCCTGGCCAAAAAGTGGTAAAGATATTAAAGAAACCAATCATACAGCTTTGCAATTTGCTACCAATTGGGTGGTAGATAGGGTCTTGCCATAATGATTGTTCTCAATGGAGCCATTGAGTAAAGTTATTATGGTCCTGGTTGAGTATCAGCCTTTTCTGATAAAGCCTTTGTTTGTTTTTCCTTTATGGGGCTCGTGCGATCTAATTCTGCCTTTTTCATACAGACCCAAAAAAAGTGAAACCCTACCCTAGCTACCAGCTACTTCAAAATCAAAGCCTAAAAGCAAGCAAACTCTATATAGTTGCATAATTTTACTCTGTTGGCTAGTTGGTCCAACATTTGTGTGCCATGACTCATGAGAGAGAGAGAGAGAGAGAGAGAGAGAGAGAGAGAGAGAGAGCGCTCACATCTCTCTCAAATGTAATATATCATCGCGGCGGGGCGGTGTGTTGGGTTTCTGCTGTTGTTTCTTTTTCTTTTTTATCAATGAGAGATGCATTGGTTGCCTATATGTGGGGTTTATCTAACAATATCAAACAATATATATGTAAGGTTCTTCATGTGCATACTTCAATTTTGGTCACATCAGAGCTAGTTCAGCTTTTGAGAGTATCAAAAGATTATGTCTTCCCTTTTGACTGAAAAATGGTTACTGAAATTCCTGCATTACTGAAGAACCCAAATGAAACAAGTGTGACCGGGCGGCTGAACTTCCATGGTAATACAATTGAAAAATGTTGTATTTCTGACTGATAAATTGAATTCCGATGATCAGCTCAGGAGCTGATTCTTTTGTCCCATTGGTTTTCACCTGCGCTGCTACAAACCTGTCATTATTCTCTATTCAGCACCAAGAAAAACGTATTTGCATTTCTTAATCCATTTGTGGCTATGTTATTTTACCTGACATTTTTGTAACACTAACATGTAAACAAAGGGAATAATACTCCAAGCCATCAATTGGTTTTTTCTGCTTTTTCTTCTCTCTCTTTCTTTTTTGGGGATCAACAGAGCTATTAGTTAATGGATCTGGGCCGCGGTCCAGTTAAAACTGGCCGTGTTTCTATCTATTCTAGCGTAGCTTGAATAATCTCACTTGTCTTTCTCTAGTTTTTACCTTGAATCTCACCTTTTTTTTTCCCCTATCTACTATTCAAGCTTCACCATGTAGATTTACTAGAGAAGTTTGGAGGTTTTAGCTTTAAGGGTTTTCAAAGGGGCAGTGAGATGAGAAAAGATTCTATTTTTCGTCTCACCCAAACCTTCAACCAACCAAATATTTTTGGTTGAAACCTACAAGAAAAGATTCTATTCAAGTGAGGTTGGAGTTAGACTTCCAGGGTTTAAATGATGATGATGACATTAATATATTGCAAGTGCTTGCAAGAAAATGCATAAATATATTGTAGGAGATAAGTGAAAATGTTCTGTTACTAGACATGTAAATCAGAATGACAATTTGAACTTGATTAGGTTGATTTTTATATAAACATGTAATTAAAAAATTTATATTAAAAGTCTGACAACAACAGAATCCATAGCCATATTGGGTAGAAAATGGCATGTTGCTAAGATCTAAATAGTGGGTTCATGTATTCTATGAATACTAATTTTAAATTAATGTTTTATTAACAAATTTGGCATTGTTGCATAGGATCATGCCATGTTATTATTAACAAATTTTACTAAAATTTGGTATTGACCAACTCGAAGTTTGTGTTTTCCCAAGTGTGACTTATTATTATTTTTGTGTGAACCATATGATCCCAATTTCCCAAGTATGACAATTTTCTATGTAGTGCTCACCACATTACTTTCTCTTACAAAACTTATGGTACAAGTTACAACTAATATGCTTCAAACAAACAAACAATGGCAATACAAACACCACCTCCTCAAACCCTAAATTGAATTTTTATTTTTATTTTTATTTTTATAAAGGGTTTCTTCTATTCATAGAATTTGGGTTGATTCAAACCCACACAAAAAATTAAAAAAAAAAGAAAAAGAATTTAGGTTGCTTTTGATTCATGGAAAAAAGGATTTGGAAATGAGAAACTATTTACTTTTCCATGTTTGGTAAGTCCAGACATGGAAAATGATTTCCAATAACTATTTACTTTCTCATGTTTGGTACAAACATGGAAAATGATTTCCCGTCTCATGAGAAAATACAGGGGGAAATGAAACCCTCCACCCACCTTGGGTTTCAATTTTCTCTCCTCATGGAAGAGTAGATAATTAGATATAATACGTATATATAATTAGCCATATCATCTGAAGCATGAACAGAATCACCTTTGTTCCGAAGGCCTAGCGAGGCGGAGAAGCAAGAGCTCACTCGACCTGGGAGGAAGTTTCATTCCAAACTGCTCTTAGTTTGAGCGGCTGATACCGACTCGCTTCGCTCGGACAGCCTACGCAAACCTACTTGCCTATCTACTCTTGAAGTACCGTTCGGCTCCTGTATAGGGGAGCCTCACTTCCCTTCTGTTTTCTCTTCATACAAGGATAGCTCATCCAAGCGGAGCTGACCCTTCTCTTAACTGGTATTTCCGCTTTTTCTCTTGCATTCCATAATGGGAAGAACCTCTTCGTCTATTCTCTTCGGGGGATGCAAACCTTAATTACAATTTTTAATGCAGATTTATGATTTAGGGATATA